TTTAAAATAGACTTGTAAAGTTTTCTAAAAGACATCTATTTCATTCAAAATAGATTTTATATGAAGTAGATATAATTTTTTAAAATTGGTTGTTAAAACTTCTAGTACTCAAAAAAATGCTACTGACCTTTGCTCACATTTTTGATCATATATCTCAAACTTCTTTGAATTTGTGAGTGGGTATTATTTCGTTGGAAACTAAACATCCAGAACTTTCCAACCATAGGTCAATTTCCTAATTTGGACTTAAAATAAAAGAGTTGTGATTGTTAGTATCTGACCTATAAACTGTATTTTGGAATCCTAGAACAAAGTGCTTTAGCACCCATTACTTTGCAAGTAGCACCCATGCTATTCTCTAGCACCCATGCTATTCTTGCTTTAGCACCGGTACTTTGCAAGTAACACCTATGCTATTCTTGCCTCAGCACTTATGCTATTTTTTAGCACCCATGCTATTTTCAAGCACTTGTTCTATTTGTATTTTCTTTTCTTTCGGCTATGCATCTTTACTCTTTGACATTCCTTTAGCACCTATACTAAGGTATCAACACCAGTACTAATTCATCTTTCTTCAAAAATTCTAGTATCTATTTACATGTTTCAATAGAAAGCTTCGATGCTATCTCTTCAGCCCTATTCAACTTGCTCTCTAGAAGAAATCGTTTAAGTTATTTTAACACTTATGCTATTTATTAACATCAGTAATATTTTCAAAGCTTTAAAATTGTAGGTTTCATCCAATTTACATCAACATCGGCTTTACTATAAATCATCTTTTGAAATAACTTCTTTATTTTTATAAAATGCAAAATATCATCATCATTTACAAAGAGCCCTGTACTAGTACCATCAAAGTAACACATATTATTTTCATTGTGCTGTCATCATTTCTCATCACAGCACCAGTAGTATTGTAGATAGCACTGGTACTAAATTGGTTTTTCATTCTCTGTTTGTCATTCTCAATTCTAAACTCTTTGAAACTCATTTCTTAGCTATTCTTTTCATCCGACATCAATTGTGTTCAATTAATAACCTTTTCTAGAATCTATCTAAACATGATTATTACTTGGATCAAACTCTTTGTGATTCATTCTTGATTTACACCACCTGTGCTAAAATGCTTTGCCAATATAACCTTCACTAACTTTTGCCAGAGCATTAAATGCATGAATATCGTAAACCCATCTAAAAAGATGCCAATTCCTACTATCGTTTTCTAGTAACAATGCTATTGCAAAGCTATAAAGCTACATTTATAATATCAATGTTAAAGATTGAATAGCAATGAAAAATTAATTGTGTCTAATGGACACTCTGCAAGATGCAAGAGGAGAGAAGACGACTACTTCCATAGCTATTTTGAATAAGTCTAAAGAATTATTTATTAATTCCAACTATAAAAGGACTCATATATGAAGATTGAAGTAGAGATGTGAGTGGCCAAGCTATGACATTCAATACCTTCGACTACTCTTTTTATTTGTCTCGAATATTATTGTACTTCAATATATTCATCTACTTAATGAGTGAATTTGTATTAGGATTACTTTATGATCAAAATTTCTCTATTACTTATCTAAGCAAACTTAAGATTAGGGGATCTTAAGTGAGTGCTAAAATTCCTCTGTAAAGGGGAGAGAAATAGACTTGTAAGTTTGAGAGATTGTAAGTGGCTTCACAAGTGTCTTGAATTGAACTTCTGGGATTTTTGTAAAGGATAGTAATACAGACGCTAAATCTAAGATTGTAGTGTGGCTTCACAAATGCCCGGATCGAACTTGTGGTTATAGTGAAAATCTCAAAAGGTTTCTGGGGACCGGACGTAGGCTAAGTGGATTGGGCTAAACCAGTGTGTTTTGCTCGTTATCTTTCTCATCTTGATTAGCTCTATTTATCCTTTCATCATTCATATTTCAAGTTTCTATGGTCAAGAGCTTTAAGCAAAAAAAAAAAAACAGAGAGAGAATACCTAATTCACCCCCTCTTAGGTGATCGACATATCTTATAGAATTCTAATCATATTGATAATATTGAAGAGAGAAATTTAATCTTTTGTCGTTACTAAAAATATCTTCTCTTTTGAAATTATTCAAGATGACACGTGCTATTAGATGTTACACTATGAATAACACTATTAAAGATATCTTCTCCCTCTTGAACAACAAGTTGTTCAAGATGGCACTTGTTATTATTAGATGCCATATTGTAGAAAGAGAGAAATCTAACTTGATATTTTGCAGTTACTAAATATATATATTCTCTCTCTTAAAGTTGTTCGAGACGACATGTGTTCTTTGATGCTACACAGAGGATATTGCTAAAGAGAGAAATCTAATCTTTTACAATTACTAAAAATGTTTATCTAATCTTTTACAATTACTAAAAATGTTTTCTTTGTCTTAAAGTTGTTCAAGATGGCATTTATCATTAGATGTTACACTGTGAAAAATACTAAAAAGAGAAATATAATTGTTTGTAGTTACTAAGGATATCTTTTCCCTCCTGAAGTTATTCAAGGCGAAACATGTCCTCAAATGCAACACTGTGATCATTGTTAAATTATATAATTTTTCATTCTTTGTTACAACTTTAGTTTGATGTTTTTTCCTTGTAAATATTCTTTTATTATGAAGAGAAGAAAAGGTCTTCATATATGAGATTGGCAGGTTCCCATTTATTATGTTTTCATATAAGTGAATAAATGTGTAATTTGCTTGCTCATCAAACAGCTCATAACGATTTCAATATTAAGATTCTTAATATTCCCTCATCTAAATGTAGAAACCTTTTACGATTAGATTCCTGGTAATGGGTTTGTATTACATGGCACATTAACTGGGGTCCTTTCTATTTAAATAAAAAAAGATTGGGTTTTTTAAATTTACATCATCATCCTTCTTAGGTTAACGAAGATCTAACAAAATTTATATTTTCTATTGACATGCTAAAAAGATTAACATAATGCCTCCATTACTCTACCACTCTTTTTATTGTACAGTTTCAGCATTTGCAGAAGATCTATTTCTTTAAATTTATGCGCTAACATTTGTTTCTTAGTTTGAACAAATCTTTACAATGCAAAATAATAAATGTATCTATTACACTTTTTTTTAGATACATTTTATATTTCATTTTTACAAAATACTTTTCTGTATGCTAAACAATGCTATAGTAGTAAATTAAATAGTCTACTACTCTCTCTATCCCTTAGTTTACTGTACAATCCCGCTATTGCATGAGGCCTAATTACTTAAATATAGGTTGACATGTTGCTCAGATTATTAAACAAATCTTAAATTTATTAGGAGGAGATATAGAGAGGGGTGAGCCCAATCTATCCCTCTCTTTAGGGGGACCAGTTTTTCAAAATTTGATTAAAATATATAAAATTTTCTTAAATTTTAAGACAGTTTTATATGATTTCTCTCATTTTTTAATGTTAAAAATTAACCACCCTAACCCTTCATTTTCTTTTCAAAACCCCCTACCGTTAATTAACTATTATTTTATTAACATAATTATTGTTATGTCATATGAATGCAATACACATGGCACATGATATGAAAAAAAATATTTTTATTATTTTTAACATAATTTTAGGAGGGATAAAATTGTAATTTTTATTTTTAACACACATGATGATTCTCTCTTCTTCTTTTTTTACTATGCTCATTATCCACAAGTAATACAATTTAAAATAAAAATTATAATTTTATTATTTTTTATCAATTAAAACAATCTTTTATATTAAACAAATGAAAAGAAAAATAAATAAAAAGCTGTTATTGATAAAAAATCATATAAATTTCATTACCTTTGTTTATTTTCTTCAAACTATTATTTGTTCGCAACTATGATTTTCTCCTTTGAATGAAATTTTCAATACTTATTCAAACAAAATGTATGCTCTGCTTTTGAGTAAGATATATATATATATATATATATTTGCTATTGGTGATTTGTATTGGTTTTGTTAAAAACAACTTGCAAAATAACATAGTTTTCTTGTATTAAAGAATAATTTTTTATTTATAAGATTCTTATCAATGAGAGCTTTTAAATATTTTTCTTTTCATTTGTTTAATATAAAAGGCTATTTTAATTGATGAAAAATAATAAAATTATAATTTTTCTATTAAATTGTATTACCCGTGAACAATGAGAATAATACTTCTTAACTAAAAAAATGAGAGCATCATCATGTGTGTTAAAAATGAAAAATACAATTTTATCCCTCCTTAAATTGTGTTAAAAAATAATAAAAAAAATTTCCATATCATGTGGCATGTAGGGGGTTTTGAAAATCAAACGAAAGGTTGAGTTAATTTTAAATATTAATTATGAGATAGGTCAAATGCAACTACCTCAAAATTTATAAAAGTTTAATACATTCTAATTTTAACATTTTTATTGGTAAGATTATTTGGTTTCATGTTAAAAATTATAGCAAAAATGTTTTTAATGGTTTTCAACATGAAACTAAATATGCACTTGGGTTAACCATATGTTCTATTACTTTCTCTATTTCTCTCCTTATTACACAATAATGATTGTACTCTTTAAATTTATCTTAATATATAAAGTTAAGATTTATTTTTATTCTTAAACTTTTTTTTCAAAAAGCTCTATGAGGCCCACTTGCAATGACATGTCTTTAGTGCTAGTTTGCTCCCGAACCATGAAACCTTTTTAAAATAAAATTTAATAAATAATTTAAAAGTATTAAGTATTTTAATATTTAATAATTTAAATATTATTATTTATAAATTATTTTTTAAATATTAACAGCTCAAATTCATTATAGATTACTTGCAATTTGTGAGTATAGATTTGTATATAATAATGATAATTATAAATTATTTTATAAATATTCAATTAGAAAACCAAGACCCACCTAGGGCTGCAGGCACCATAAAAGAAGATGGACTCGAAATTACAGCATGTGAGAATGCCATCACAAGGATAGAAGAGAAGAACGCTAGTTACTCCAAAAAGAGTCGCAAACATTCATATTATTATTCATAAATATTATTATTATTATTGATTACATAGTCCACATAATAAAGCACACCCACATGATAATAGGATTTAATTTGTAGCAGTCGAAACATGTGGAATAACAACACGATAACATATGAAAGATGGTAGACACATATATAGCTGACTGGATCATCAAGCAATACATTGGTAGCCACGAGGGACTTGCTTAGAGCAACGGTTGAGAATCAAGTTGAGAGAGATCGGAAGGTTGAGGTTGATGCCCAGAATGTTAGCTCGCAGGGCAGTGCAAAGGCAGACGGCGGCGTCAAGGTCGACGAGCCCTTGGATGAGAGAGCAGCATGGGGTCACCGGCGGCTGACCAATTGTCACGTTCACTAAATTCAGCACATTGGCGCATACCCCTAGTTTTAATGCGTCTATAGGACACGTGCCTGTTCCATTTCCAGGTGCCGGTGATGGACCTAGAAATTTTGAATCGTGGTTCGGGGCGTCATATATTATATATTTACACATGTAAAGATACACTTTTAATCTAATACAAAACATGCATCATATTTTCAACAAGCTTTTCTATGAAGTTTCATATTTTGGTAATATTGAATAATTTTTTTTTCATTTTCAATGCTATTAAAAATTTATTTCTCTGTGTAAAGAACCAAACAATCATTTAACAATCTATCTCATTCCCATGCAATTTTTCTTCTGATTCTTGATGATATTTAGGGATTTAGTTTTCTGAACTGAAGCAGGGAAGAAATTTTAAAAAAAATAGAAATAAGAGGGGAAAGTCAATTTCAATGAGAAGAAAATAAATAGCCACAAATAAAAATAATGAAATATAAAATGTGTGATATTTTTTTATATGAGCCATGAAATTATGAATATAAAAGATAATAAAAAAATGAATGACATAAGAAAGTAATATTACTCAGTATCTATGAGATGAGGACACATGATGCACATATATACTACATATATTAGTAAAGAAATTGCAAAAGGTTTATGGTGTCCATCCTTACCAGTTCCAGGTGAGGGGCTGATCATAGGTCTCGGGCTAGGCATTGGATTGGGGATTGGTCTAGGCCTGGGCATTGGACTAGGGATAGGTCTCGGGCTGGGCATTGGATTGGGGATGGGCCTCGGGTTGGGCATTGGCTTTGAGCAATCTTGACCAGAGACTATGGAAAAGAAGAGAGGACTGAGGAGCAGGAAAAGAGCAAAGGCAGAGGAACAAGGTTTGGAGGCCATTGATGAGGTGATCTATTAGCCCTAGTAGCAATAAGTGTATCACTGGGAGAGCTTGGAAGAGATGAGAGGAATGGGAAGCCAAGGGTGGCTTATATAGTGGTGGATATGTATGTGGGTGAGGGACGTGAAGAGTCAGCGAAGGATGTAATGGCAAGCATACGTGAAGTAAATATTATTATTTTATGCGTTTTTCTATTTTCCTTTTTGAAAACACTTTTCCATATAGTAAATAATTAACAAGACATTAAAAACTGAATTGATTATTGAACTGATCAAGACAACGGATCAAGGGTTAGTAATTTAATCGAAAGTCAACCCGAAGTGAAACATGTCTTGATTAAAATAATATAATTCAATATATATATATATATATATGTTCATATTTGAATATGAAAAAAAGCCAATGACTTTGTATCTTAATGGCATGTAAGCTCCCCCATAAGTGGGAAGCCACAGCTTCTATCTTGCTTGTAATCTCAAGCCATTAGTGCATGTTCCTTTAATTCAAAATGTGAAAAAAAATATATTTAAGGAAAAAAAATCTTTAATTCTTCTTAAATAACCCAACAAAAGTTCAATAAAGAGATAAAAATCTTACATAAGTTGGCACAATTTTAACAAAAATTCGGCAAATTCAGTAAAATAATATTGATGATTAAATAATTTACTATTTTTTTCAACACTTATTTAGTATTCTTTAGGCAAAAGTTGAAAATTGCAAGAGATAGAAAACGTGCAAGAGAGGCTAAATTTGTTTGGCAAGCATGAGTTTAATGAGACAATAATGGTGATTGGCATATGAATGCTGGACCGTACTATCATTTATTTTTTCTTTTAATAAATTTAAATCATAGTTTTGACCAGAAAAAATTTAAATCATAGCCATTGATTGTTTTTTTTAAAAAAAAAAAGAGATAACATTACCGTTGATATGAAACCTCTCATTCTCTCATTATGAGGCATCTTTTCCAGTTTCCCTCTAAAGCTCTCAATTGGCTTCTCCCCATTTCTTTTTTATCCATTTCCTTTCTACTTTCTATGTCAACCATTACGTTTTTTTCTTTTAGCCGGATCAAACATTGAATCAAATTTTCATTGATTAGAATTTAATATTTCATAAAATTAATAAACTTATGAAAAATTTTAATGTTAAAATTTATTAAATAAATTTAAAATATAACAAATTTAATCTAAACTACAATTCAAGATTTATGATTGTAATAAAAAGATTTAAAATATTAGTTTTACAAATATTAAATCCTAACCATTCAAAATTTGATCCAAAGGTTGAGATGGAAAGTGGAGAGAAAATCGAGAGAGAAAAATTGGAGAGACACAAAGTCCTTAAAACCAATACTTTCAGGCAGTTCTTTTATCCTTCATTCCAGATCTCATATGGGAAATAGAAGGAAGGACAAAATGTTGCCATGGGAGCAATTCAACTGTGCAAGAAAGCTTATAGTATATAGCAAAATCGACAAGGAATGAGTTTCAATCTGTGGCCTGTCTTTTTTATTTTGACTTTTCTCTTCTTCATTCTTTATCGTCTTCGTAAATCTTCATCTTCTTCCTTTTTTGTTTTCCTTTGCTATTCCAGTGTTCCTTCTTCTTTTTTTCACTCGAATATATTTTGTCTAGTCAATTTCCTTAACCTAGCAGAACCCATCAACCTGTTGAAATAGCCGGGTTCTACTGGGTCAACACCAGGTTGACCGGTCCAATTGGTTCAATAAAAATGGTTTAATTGAAATTTTAAATTGGCCACCTGACTGATTCATCGATTTACTAGTCTAATTGATTAGATCAATCCAATTTTTCATACAATAAGTAAATCAAATGGTCTACTGCTCTCTCTATCCCTCTCTTTATTGCACAATTCCATTATTGCAAAAGGCCTAATTACTTAAATGCATGTTGACACCTTGCTCAAATTGTTAACAAAACCTTGAATCTATTAGTAGAAGAGATAAAGAGTGGTGAGCCCAATCTATCCCTCTCTTTAGGGGGACCAATTTTTTTTTAAAAAAAAATCATGCTAAAAATCATCACAAAAATGTTTTTAATAATTTTTAACGTAAAACTAAATATGCCCTCAATTAACCAAATATTCTATTACTTTCTCTATTTCTCTCCTTATTACACAATACTTTCGTTGAAAATGATTTTACTCTTTAAATTTATAAAATTTATATGGACATATATTGTCCAAGTTGACTAAATTTCTCTTCCTTTGCATTCATTCATCAACTTCACTACCTTCTCAACTTCAACATTGCTGCGTTTGATCAACTTCTATCGAGACCGAATTGTAGATGTTGACTAGACTGGATAGACAGCCCCAATGAGGCTTGGATGGCTGACTTCAACTAGGATCGAACCACCGGCGACAATAGGGATTGCACCATTGACTTTAACTGGGATCGGACAACCTACATTGATCCATGCTACTAGTGATGTTGTTTGGGCTCAAATAGCTGAAGTCGACCAAGATCAGGTTGAGAGCCTTGATTGAGACCGAACAGCTAACTTTAACTAGGATAGGACTACAGATATTGTCTGAGTTGCCTTTAAATTCAAACATAGAATTTGAAATTTGGAATTTTATTTAAGATCAAAATAAAAAATTTTAATATTATAATTTAAAATTTTTATATCATCCAAAACAAAGAATTTAGAATCTATAAATATCAAATGCAAGATTTCAAACTCAATTTCCAACTCAAATCCACCCATTCAAACATAAACCATACAAAACTTTTGCATTGGTTATTAAAAGTTTACCTATTAAATGACAAGTCAACCTTTTCAATTTACAAGTTAACAAGGGCAAAGAATACTTAAGTCCATTGAAAATCTAATTTTAACTTGACTTGTAAATCAAGAAAATTGACTTATACAAATGAAGATACTCATATTTAAATTAAAAAATTTTAAAATAATGATTTGTGATAGTTTTGTTGACCAGTCAAACAATTACCCATCATCGATCAATGGCCACCGACCACCAATCATCATCAATCAAAATTTATAGGTCAAACTTCAAAGCATATGTGTCATTTCTTTGTCTAGTTGCTTATTTTCTCCTCCTAATGTTAGGAAAATTGTTTCATCAAAATAGCAATAATTAAAAGATGCCATGAATAAATTTTCAGTTAATGGTTCTTGATACTTGATTATAAAAAGAGATTCAAAACCAACATATATTCCCAACGTTTCTTGAGGTCCCATTTTTGTACATTGTGGTGCAGCCATAGGAACAAACACTATACATACAAAAATTTTAAGATGGAAAAATTTGACTCCTGACCAAAAGCCAATTGTAATAGAAAAAATTTATAATAACTTGTTGGCTTGATGAGCAAAAGTACTGTTACATGTAAAATCACATGTCCTCATGCTGAAATAGAAAGTTTTGTCCTCAAGAGCATTGATCTAGCTATTAATTGAAAGCGTTTAAATGAATGATTTTGCTAAATCATTTTGAGTATAGACATAAGTAACAAATTTTTCAACTATTATTCTAGTTGATACGCAATAATAATAAAAAATTATGATGAAAAATTCACTCACATTATGAAGATGAATATTCTTAATTGCATAATCTAGAAGATGTGCTGTTATTGAATTATCTGAGCAAGTAATCTAGCAAATGTTAAATTACGTGTTGATAACAAATACACATGTGACCATCTTGTAGGATATATATTAAAACTACAAAAATCTGAATGTCCATATAGTTCTTTACATATGTTGAATTTCACGGGATCACTTTTTCACTCTCTATCTTCTGAGGTCTTTTTTCTCTCTTTCATTCTAATGAACACATTAACAACCCTCTCTATCTAACAATCTCTCTACGTCCCCCATTCCTTACCATTGTCAAAATCTTCTACCATCAATTTCTCCTTGAAGTTCCTTGGACCCCTGATTGCCTCTCAACTAAAAGGCATCGGCTCTGTCCATCTAAGTCATCTCCCCTACCTTCTCTTTCTCTTTCGCCTTGATTGTCATTGTCTTTTGAGGATGTTGTCTCAGATGTGCTCAACAACCTCCATCGTCTCCTCAAATATGCCCTTCAAACTTTGCCCTCGCACAGAGCTCTCTCTACTCATCTTGTTTTTGCCAAGAATGGAAGAATTGGAGTTTCAATTTTCTGCCCCTTTGTTTTTGTTTTTGTGTTTTGACCAATGCCGTTGTTTTAAATTTTCTTTTCATCCTTTTTTTTTTCTTTGTTTTTAATATCAATTTGTTGATGCTTGTAGATCTATAAGATTATTTCTCGGAATTACAGATTTCCGAATTTTTGTTGTGATATGCTTCAATCACATTTTCTATTTTTATTTTTAATTTTTGAGTGCAACAAGTTAATAATAATTTTGTTTCACTTCTTCATGCGCACTCTTATCTTCATTTTAGATAATCTTTAATGATATAACATAAATAAGGGATTAGTTCAAGTGTTAATATGTATGAGAATAAATATGTAAGTCATTATGTCATATATTTGAAAAGTCGTGTATTTATTATATACATAATTTATGAAAAATAACACTTTGAATATTCTTATATACATTATCATTTCATGATAAAGAAAAAAAATGATAGTATAAAATAGCTTTTATATACATAATTTATTTTTCCAAATCTCACTCAATATAGAACAACGTAAATAAAAACACTTTAAAGCACTTACTCCTTTAGTCTTTTTTATAAGTTTTTCTATCAATTTTATCAATATCAATGCAAAAAAGTATAAGAAATAAAAGTTTGTATAATTTCAAATATGTCCTTATATAACAAATTCAAAAAGTAATGTCACGTTGCTTTTTTCTTCTCATGAAGAATAATTATAAAAATACCTTTTAAATATTATTAAAAAAGCCACACCATGATTTATAAATAAATGAAACCAAATGAATATTTTAAAATATGATTTATAAATGAAATTGGAGGGAGCATCTTATAATTAACACTTTAAAACACGAGTCTAAGGATGAGAAGACTGGAGGCCAGGGAGGAGTTCTGTGAATGTGATTCTG